TTCACCTCTCAGTTTCAGGTGAAGAAATATGGTAGGTGGGATTATTATGCTAATCAAATTAACAATATCTTTCCCTGTGTTTTCTGAATGTCACATTCATTGTAATGTTTCTTTTTTAGTGCTCCCTGCCTTCAATGTTACCTTAACACCCAAGAAATCCTTCCTTAGCTTGGATGACAGTGAACTGGTAGTAAAAGTCTCAGCCAGGTTTGTTTATTACACTTAAACACACCAACAAACTGTCTTACTTGTGACATCCTTTGGCCATATTTAGTCTCTAGCTAAATCCTAGCCTTTCAATGCTATTGAAACCTGTTTATTTGTCTGACTTGTTGAAGCCCCATGTCCCCATTCGTTCCCTTCGGTCAGCTGAGCGGTTGTTGCTTTCGGTCCCAACGTCACGGCTGAAACTTAGAGGAGACCAAGCGTTGTCTGTCGCAGCGCCGATGCTTTGGAATAACCTTCCTCTCCATATTAGACAGGCTTCATCAGTGCCAGTTTTTAAGTCCTTATTAAAAACCTATTTTTATTCCCTGGCTTTTAACTCTGTGTGTAACTGACATTTTTATTAATTTTATTGCTATGTCTGGTTTCTGCTTTCTATTATTATATTTATATTTGTATTGTACAGCACTTTGGTCTACCAGGTGTGTTTTTAAAGTGCTATATAAATAAATGATGATGATGATGATGATGTGATGTTATTTCCATCACAATGAATTTTAGGTTATTTTATTTAATCTTGGGCTGAGTTTAGTATAAACTCTTCTAAACGCTTCCTTAGAAATGATGTCCTACCCTGTAAACAGACTCTAAAATAGTCAAGAATTTAAAAATACAAACGTAATGACATTCTTAGCCGTAAGAACATTCATGGTCATCGTTTTCTGGACTTTGTATTTTCTCTGAAGCAGCACGTTGGGGCTTCAAAATACATATTTAAGGCTCATCTGCAATGCCTTAGTTTTTCTGACCCAGACGTTACGTCCATGTTTTTTACTGTCTGTCCAAGAGGTCATCAGAGCAACTGCATTTTCTGTGTTGGCTTCATTTGGCTTGGGAACTGTTAGACAGGTTTTATAAACACACCATTGACTGATGGATAACTGTTTTGGGGACTGTGTTTCAGGTACCTGTATGGAGAGCCAGTCCAGGGGACAGCTTATGTTGTGTTTGGAGTCAAGATCAATAAAGAAATGATAAGATTACCTTCAGTGAAGCAGGTGTCAGACGTAAGTTTACCCTAAAAGTTTTACATTACTATGGCTGTAGATTTTGGCCTCTGTATTTAGGATCTATGTCAAAATGTATTTGCTCATATGCTTCCTTTTACTTATCTATTATTTTTGTTTAGCTCTGGTGTTAAACAACCATACTGGGACAGTAAAAAGAAAAGGTGCAGCCTTTCCCCCCCTTTTTATAAAGAGACACTGTTAGCAGCTACTTCTGTTAATAACACGTAGGCCTTAGTCACACAGGCCTGCAGCATCATATCTGGGAACCACCTGTTGCAAGGATAACATATCTATGCTTTAATCAGGTGTGAGTGGTTGGTGGCTTTCACTGTGAAATCAGTTGTTAAAGCCCCAGTAACATGGGCCTGGAGACCAGCCAGTGACCCCTGAGCCTACTATTTGAAAAATCTCTGTGTGACTGCTTTGGTTGCTGGCAGGTCATGTGAAAGACAATGGCTCACCTGCAAAAACCTACTCACCTAGCAGTAGTGAAACTCTGAACAGAGTAATGCTAACTGGAAGACACAGCTTCTGCTCTGAAGATGGCACTCTCTGTCTTTGGTTTGTGTTGCACTTTTACAAGTTTTACTATGACTCAGAAAGCAAATGGGAAGTATTTGCAGACAACTCAGTGGGGTCACATACTGGTCACTAGGGCTGGGTGACTCAGACCATACCGGCTTATTCCATAGACCGCAATGCTTAAGTCATTTTTATCTATATGCAAAATAGTTGCAAGTAGTTTTAAAAAGGAAGTTGATGAGAGCCATGGGACTCAAACATACGGTGTGAGTGCAGCTGGAGAACAAAAGTAGTAATTTATAAGAACTTAAAAAAGTTCTTATAATCCCCCCAAACAAACAAAGAAACCACCA